TAGAAGGCAAATGTTTTGAGAATGATGAGGGCAACAAATGTACATATGTGCTTGACACAATGGATGTATGTATGGATTGTGATAAGAATTGTACGAGTCCCCAACAAAATAATTAAAAAAAAAAAAGAAAAAGACGAAGACCATCAACAAGATGGATTGACACAGTGGCAGCAACTGTAGGTTCAAGCATAACAGTTGTGAGGATGGCACAGGTCCAGGCCATGTTTCATCTGTTGTACATAGGGTCACTATGAATTGGAAATGACAACACTTAACACCATCACATCACCACAACAGTAAGGATTCCTGATAGTGCAATGGATAAATGCATGACTGCTAACTAGAGGTCAGCATTTCAAACTCATCCTATTGCTCCATAGGAGAAAAGACCTGGCAATCTGCTGCCATAAAGATTATAGCCGAACAAACCCAATAAAGCAGTACTACTCTGTTATATAGGGTTGCTATGAGCCAGAATCAATTCAACAGCACACAACATGACTGTGGTAGTGCTGGCCCCAGATACTAAAGCTCTAATGAGTTCAATGGTCACCTAGTCATATAGCAATTAATGATGGTTTACAATGGGCACTATTGTACTAGGTGATTAATCTACATTTATTTTATTACTATTATTATTTAATCTACATTTACTATTGCATAATCAAAGCTAATTTTTTTTCTCATAGGAGTAACAAGATGAGAATCAGATGAATATTAAAATAAATCAAGCTATGATTCAATGAGGCATAGAAAATGGGTGCATAAAAAAAGGCGCAGTGATGTTGTAGAAAGAGGACTACACTGGGAGGTAAGAATTTTAAGTCATCTTAAAACTGAACATAGGAAGAAAAAAAACCCCAAACGGAACATAGTTTAGTTTAGCCAGTAAGGAATATCTGCTTTGAATATAATGTTGTTGTTTTTTTAAATCATTTTATTGGGGGCTCGTACAACTCCTGCTTTTTTAAAAAAATAATTCTCTTTTAAGATCTATCTACATGGGATCAAATTGCCAACAGAAAATCAAAAGATTAAATAGGAAGGAACCTGAGGAGGCAGTGAGTTCATGTTACTGGAGGAGCAAGCACTCAGCAAAGAAGGGTGAGAAGGGTAGCACAACTCAAAGAATGTAATCAATGTCACGGAAGTGTACATGGAAAAACTTTTATTGCTATATTTTTTTCTGTGCATAATTCTCAAAAAAATTACTAAAAAAAATAATAACAATGTAAAAAACAGATATGAAGTGACCAACCTTTCTTGACCCCTTTTCCACTGACCTTTTCACCACATCCTTGTATCCTGGGGCCTGCCTATCTGATACAGGCTTCAGAAATGGACTGCTGAACCTGGTAACCAACAAAGCCAGACAGGATGAACAAACTCTGGCAAGTCACACTGAATAAGAAGAGTGGCTACTATGAACTAAAAGACAGTAATTAAAACTATTGAGTGTGGTTTATTTCTTGTTAGCTTTTTCTAGGGAAATGCAGACTATAATATAATTAAGGAAGTAATCTATTAGTCTCCTCTTGCTGAAGGAAAAATAATTTTTTAAAAAAGATAAAATATTTATCACTATTCCAATACACTGATTTAGTGTTCAGAAATTTGTTCAAGGCCTCTGTGAAGAGAGACTCCACCATTTTGAAGGGAAACATATATGAATTGTATTATATAATAGGAACCGATTTCTAGAGGCAACTTATTAAC